CCACCAAACCACTTTCTGTCTACTGGCTGTTTTACGCCGTCGACAACATGTCCCTAGGGTAGCTTTGTATTCTTATTGAAATTATATGAGTCGAAATTATGCCTATATATGGCCATATTTATGTTGGCCCACTCCATCGAAGACTACATTACCTGCACGGCAGCACAAGTAACAGGTGCATCCGCCAACTCTCTTCGACAATTCAGGTAAGACTTTGGTAGTTTCGCGGTGAATCGTTCCGTAAAGCTACGGTCACAACCCGCCGTACGTGCTTCTGCGTGCTGTCTACGTGCAAAAACGTGGACAAACGTAGGGCATCCGTGCGTGGTGAGTACCGCCTCCGTACGGAATCCTACGGATTTGGGAGCACGCAGACACACCGTAGAACTTTAAGTGCATGTAAAACTTTTTCTGTGTGCGGTCTACGGATTCACCGCCCGTGCATGCGAGTACGAGCGACGCGCGTGCCCCGTTTGTGCCGTACGGAAGAAGCACGTGTGAGTACGGCCTCCTTACGGTAAAGTTGCAATCGCTCAGAGATCGTACGTTGTAAGCACGTACAACTCACTTACTACTTGCGCAACGTACGATGCACGCAACCGTTCACGGCCAGACGTTGCGTGCAGACCACACTCTTACACCTTGCGAAACCGTGCGCCGGGGTGACATGCGAGTGACGTGCGTCGATGCCACTCCTTCCCCACGTTTTCAGAAAAAAACGTAGCAGACGTAGGCTCCCAAACAACGTACGGACAAAAAGCACGCACGGCGGGTTGTGACCGTAGCTTTAGAAATCATACCACGAGTATTGCACGATGGCTATTTTGGCACAGTAGAAACGTAGCTATGTGTTGTCAGTTACAGCAAGTTTTACTTTAGTTGAGCGTACCAGGTATCATGTGCATGGTGTATCGGTCTCTTTTAACTTAGGCCGGTGTCCTCTAGCTCTCAAGATCGCGGTTACTTGAATGTGTTGATTATGGCTTCACCAACATCACGAAGATTTTGTTCTCCTTCTACTCCTGCCAATTCTTTACATGGGATCAAATTCTTATCTTTCAAATTGACCAGAAATTTGGTGTATACTTTTTATTTTCTTGATACAGGCTTTTAGAATGGTTTTATTTGGTGTTTGTTTTTCTTTTCAATAAAAACTCTATTTTGGGGGGGGGGGGTGCTGTGTTGAAGAAATATCTAGGGTGTGACCACATTCGGAAATGTGAACAGGTGGTCCGTGCCTGAGTTTGGGCATCTCAGTTGGTTTAAGTCGTCCATCCAGTACACCGACTTTTCTGGTCTTTCCATAAAAATGCAATAACTCAGCCATAGGTGGTCAGAAATGGTTCAAACTTGGGAGATAGGCAGTGAAGTTGGTGGTTGTAAAAATATGTTTTTATTTTTCTTTATATTACATATTCCTATGTCGGACATAATTCATATTTTACCCAAAAAAACTAAAATCGAGGAACTATTTCCGACATGACATCAGAGATATACGCTTTTGGGAGGGTACATTCTTACATCTGTCACCATTTAGAAACCGTTCTGATATATCTGACGTTCCATAGGCATGGCTATAGTTCCTCAAAATGTCTTAAAGTTTAAATTCTGCATCTTTACCTTATTAAAAAAATTATTCCTGTCAATCAAATCGGCAGGCCAATCAGTCGTGTATTTTGAACCCCTATGAGACGTAATTTACACTTGTGTCAAGACAAAAGGTTGGCAGTCATTTGTTATGCGCAGTCTAATTGTTAACTGCACTCAGGCCTAGTTTTCTTTTTTGTAATTGGAATTACCTTAAGAGAGGTATTGACAGAAAACGTTTTTACAGTCAGCAACATGTTGACAACAATTGAATTAAATGTTTATACGGTTAATAGCAAGGGTACGCACCGGACTGACCGGGCACTGGGCACGAACGGCTGCTGGGCGGGGCACACCCACCTCGCCGGCAACTCTGCCAGCGCCCCGCGCCGAGGCCGTTGTGGCGGCCGTACCGGCTTAAGTCACCGTCTTTTCCCTACGACGGGGTCTTCCCTGTAAAGGGCAGGTTCGATCTGCACGCAGCCACAGGCAGTTGATAGGTCCTTGATAGCTGTGTAACAGTATGTGGTCTAGTGATTAAGAGTTGTGGCTTTCACTCACACGGCCACTGTAAGAAACAGGAAGAGCGAGTAGAAACAGATAAACGAACCAACGACCTCCCGAGCACCAGCTACAAATCCAACGCTCCTAACGAATCGGTTAAAAGGTACACACTAATCGGCTACAGATCCGACGCTCCTACCGAATCGGCTAAAAAGTACAGACCCCTCGATGCCCATAAACATTCGTCCTCGAATCTTCCGAATTCGACATACCTGGAGCGGCACTCTAGACAATTCTTCCAGGGCAGGTGTGGGAACCACTGTAAGAAACAGGAGCGAGTAGAAACAGATAAAGCCCCTGGTTCCGGGTCTCAAACCCACGACCTCCCGAGCACAAGCTTTAAAACCGGCACTCCTACCAAATCGGCTAAAAGGTCTAGACCCCCAGGCCGGGTCAGTTGGTAGCGCCCATAACCCCCCCCCACTGTTGTTTTCGTTTATTTATTTTTTTTATTTTCAATTTGCTCATTCTTTCACATTCTTTGCCAAGCCTGAGATGGTAGAAATAACCGCTACTCTCTTATTTAGTCCATAAAGCTACTACATGGTGAGACACCTGTACAGTTTTTATAATTTAACGGGAATCACTCACGGACCGGTCGTCGGGGTCAGAGGCGACAGCCCCTGCCTGCCGAGCCGAGCCGAGCCGAGCCAGCCCGGCCCCCAAAAATCCAAAAGTTCCGGTACGGGAATGTCGCATCATCATCGGTCGGCTGCTGCGCAGGCGACTGCAAGATCCCTCCACTGCCCCTTGTCGCAAGCGAGGTTGGCGATCTGCTTCTCAGTTAGCTGGTTGTGCTCATCTCCCAGTAGTTGCTAGACATACTTGAAGTAGGAGGTAGGCTGTCGGCCTCACCTGCGTCTGCCATGAGAGGGCACGTAGAGGGCGTACAGTCTAACCGGTTCATCCTCGGGCATGCGCAGGATGTGTCCCAGAAAGTTCAGCTGTCTCAGACGCACATGCTGAATCAGTGGACTAGTTTGGGTCAAGTTGTAAATGCTGTCGTTTGTTACCCGGTCTCGCCTTTTGATGTTCAGCATAATACGGTAACGCGAAGTAGCAAAAGAGTTGAACACGAAGTAGCAAAAGAGCAAAATGTCGCATACTGTTGTGTAGCTGAAGGGCCGCGGACATGCCCCGCACACAGCGGCAGAGGCTCAACTGCTTCCGTCGGGTGGGGGAGGTGGGAATGCCCGGCTCCAATAGATAATGAAGTTGTTTATTGCAAATTCCTGCCCGAGGGCTAATTGCATACATTGACAAGAAAATGTGGTGATACATGTATAAGACTATTTGCTGACAGGAACTTCTACGTGTACGATATACTTATCGAACCTAGTATCTCTACTTAAATCTAATAACGTTGGTATACATACAGGATAAAAAAGTAAATATGCAATATGTGAACAGGTAATACACCCATCGGAAGTACCTACAAAGTAACTCAAATGCACACGTATGGAGACCGTGGCAAAGCCAGACACCACCATGCCGATTGAACCTAGACATGTTGGCGCCGGCCAGGCCCCTTCGGAAACGGCCATTGCCGGCGATAGCGGTCGTGTGTGTGTTCATTAGGTGAAGTCTTACAACTGCAGGGAAAGTGTATCGGTATGGTAAAGCGGTAAAATTGATCTTCGTCTTCTGGTCGGTAAAGTGTTAATCAGGAGTAAATTTAACGTGGAAATTCTAGAAATCTGCTGAATTTTAAGAAAATTCAAACGTGTGACATATCTTATTGAGAAAAAGGGAACATCAGCAAATAGCAATTAAGATCAGAAGTAAATTTAACGTGGACATTCTAGAAATCTGCTGCATTTTAAGAAAATTCAAACGTGTAACATATCTTATTGAGAAAGAGGGAACATCGGCAAAGAGCAATTAAAATTTTTAATATCTACTATGTGTGGTGAAGCCATAACAAACTGTTCTTTACATGACTAAGGTACTTGTTCCTCGACATCTAGTTTGATCCTTCTTCCTCTCTTGAGGTGTTGCTAAAATAAGCAGCAGCTAGACTTGCTCACCGCTGTGCATTTTATACTTTTTTATGTTGTTAGCTAAACAAACAGAATGTCTTCAGAGATATACAAGTACGACGACCATTTCAAGACTGCCCGAGAATATCTGGAGCATTTCCACTCCGACATGTTGGGCGAGGATGTGGACGAAGGGTTGGCGATGGCGTGGACCTTGGGTCAATTACATCAGACCTTTACTGGAGGTGCTCTATGAATTTTTCTGTGTCCAAAATATAAAAAAGAGCAACCCTTATTCATATTATGTAACTTTCTTTTCTTTTTGTCCTAATGTTTTAACAAGGGGGTTCTATGGTAAGTTGGTGTTAGTGCAGTTAGCATAGCTATAATTTAAAGTGATCCATTGACAGACAGACACACACAAAACACAAATTACTAGTAATAAGCAGATAAAATGTTTGATGGAGGGATAAACGAATGAAAGAAATGAAATTAATGAAACCATTATACTGGCCCTGCGGGAGTGAAGTTATTATGGATTACATTGTTCGTAAATGTTCGCTCGTTTGACTGATTTTCATTGTTATAATTGTTGTTGCAGACAGAGACTTCGGCAGAAGACTGTTAGACGTTGGATCAGGCCCGACAGTGTACCAGCTGATTAGCGCCAGCCGGGTTTGTCCAGAAATCATCTGCTCAGACATTCACAAGGTAAGGGTGGATCCAAAATATTATATTAATAACCTGCGGGATATATATGGGTTGCACATACAGTACCCTCTATATAGCGGCCTGTATATGTACGAAAAACAGAAGCCCACTTTAAAGAATCACAGTTTGGTTTCAGAAGTGGCAGGGGAACGGTAGACGCCATATTTGTGGTAAGACAAATCATAGAAAAGGCAAGAGAAAGACAGGTTAACCTGCACTTCCACTTCATCGACTTTAAATCCGCGTTTGACACAGTCTGGAGAAAAGCGTTGTGGAAGATGATGAGAGCAATAGGTGTTGACACGAAGATAGTCAACATAGTGGAAGAGATGTACAAGAACACCCAATGTGCAATAACTGTTAACAATCAGATCACAAAATGGTTTGAAGTCTGTGTAGGTGTCAGACAGGGATGCCTCATGTCCCCAGTGCTTTTTAACATATTCCTGGAATACGTAATGGATGAGCTTAAGAGCCTGGATAAGACCTTCTTCTTCCTTCTTCTTCCGGTGATGTCCAACTGCCGATACCGGCAATAATTGACATGTCTCAACACCAGCGTGAAGTCTAGGCCGGACTAACTACATGATGAGCTTTCAATGGAGGAAAGATACGCAGATGATACTACACTTATTGCTGCAATCTTTGAGAAACTACAGTTGTCAACCCAGGAGCTAGAGTTTGCTTGCAAAAAATGGGGGCTGAAAGTTAACGCGGCTAAGTGCAAAGTCATTTCCCCT